ATAACCACGGCTCAAATGACAAGCTCTGCCGTTTGCTTGGAGAGCACCTACAGGCGAAAGGCTTTAACTGGGAGCCAACAAAGCAGAGGATTCGGTGTCATGGCCACGTCATTAACCTCGCCGTCCAAGCCTTCCTTTTCATGGACTCAAAAGAAGCTGCACGAGCCGCCCTGGAGCAGATTGAATGTGATGACGAAACTGCGTTTGGCACTGACTTTGCTACTCGAATAAAGGCGCAGAGGGCACTGGGTTGGCGTCGTCTAGGACCTCTTGGCAAAGTCCACAATATTTCAGTCCACATGCGGGAGAACGATTACCGGTGGACTCAGTTCAAGAAGAGGGCCGGCAGATCGCTGGGCTTAGACAACGATACGCGCTGGAACTCATGGTTCATGCTTCTAGACGTTGCCCTTAACCTCCAGGAGCACGTGGAGTGGTATCAAAGAAAGCATTATGAGAACCTTCAGGACGATTATCTCGCCCCCAATGAGTGGGATATCCTGAGGGAGACGCGTGCTTTTCTTCAACCATTCTGGAAGATAACGCAACTCACAGAGGGTCGCTACGCCACTCTTGATCGCACGCTTTTCACGATGGATGTTCTTCACAGGCATTACACACAGGCTTTCCAAAAGTATCACGACAACCCCCCACTCCGCAGCTGCATAGCTGCCTCTTGGGCTGTGTTCGACAAGTATTACCAGCTCACGGATGAGAACCCTGCCTATGGCGCAGCTATGCTTCTTCACCCATCACGTCGTATGGCTCATGTGCAGAAAAACTGGCCCAAGTCGTGGCACAGACCGGTTCTTGATGCCGTGATGAAGTACTGGGAGGACCACTACCAGAAGTTGCCGATAACTACTACGACGCCCGAGCTACGAGATAAGTTGCAGCCGCCCGATGAGTACGATCTTCTAGCTCGGGAGCTCGATGTTATCAGCCCCGCGTTAAATAAACTCGACGAATACCAATCCTTCGTCACGCAAACGCCTGTTGCCATCGACTGTTCGCCGCTTGACTGGTGGCTCCGAGAGGAACAGCAACAGAGATACCCCCGTCTCTCCAGAATGGCCGTCGATATTCTATCCGTACCGGCTATGTCTGCCGAACCAGAACGCGTCTTTTCAGGCGCAAGACGGACAATATCTTGGGATCGATGTCAGCTAGGAAGTCGTACAGTTGAGAGGGGGGAGTGCATGAAGAGTTGGATTAAAAGCGGCATCACCAAAGGAGTTCCGGTAGACTTGGTGGAAGAGGAGGTAGAGAGTACTGGCTCAGTAAAACAACGAGAATCCACAACAGATTCATATTAGGCTAGCACGGTAATGGAAGGATGACGTCATTTTCTGTATTCCATATGTATGGAATAAGTTTCCATACGAAGAAAGTTCCGTAATCCATACAAGATTGGTTCCATATGGCATATGGTGTATGGATAGAAAGCCTGACTTTTCGTAGTCAGCTTTGGTCTTTGCAAAGACCTCGACATCGCCGCCTTCCGAACCATCGACC